GTGTTTTTTTTTAAATTAAAACTCGAATTAAAATACATTACTCATTAGTCATTACATTTCGATGTTCGAGCATGCGTTATTACATTTATTTTATAAAATAGTATTAACTGTTTTAATACTTTTTTCTGTGTTGGTGTATTGTATACTCAGGTGAATACGATGCTTGTGATGTTACTCTGAGTGTATGTCCACACCGCGGGGCAAGCTTGAAAAATATGCAGGCATATTTTTCAAGCTTGCCCGGTGTGGACATATGAGACATACACTATAACATCACAAAAATGTTTTAATGCTGTTTGATTAATGTCATGCAGTATACGCGTATATATGTCCTCAATCTACCTAAAAAGGTGGTTTGTGCTTCGAAGTTGACCTTGATTAAATGGAGTTACTCAACTGCATTAAGTTTGTGTGCAATTTTTTATCCAATATAACAGATGTTTTATGATATATTTATATAAAAGTTAATCCTGACTGTGTTTATGCACCCACGATTTATTACAAGAATTAAATTTTACAGTGATTTCCTGATATAAAACTGAATAAAAAGCTCTCTCCCGACTTAAACAAGTAAATGTGGCCGGGGGAAATAATAGCAATACAGTATTAGATTGGTGAACACAGGGGTTAAAACGTTAATAAAGTTAAGTTAACATGTCGTTTTCTTAAAATTATCGATGTATTACTAACAGTTTCGTCCTTTTGTAGCTCAATGTAGCAGTTTAGTTTTTACCTTTGCTTGGCTTGAAAATGCGTTGTCGACAGAATTCAGCATTCAACTGCGACGCACGGATTGCTCTATTTGCTAAAACCACTAACAAAATACCCAAAAACCAGAACCCTGATGTTTTGCTGTCCAGAGACCTCATTTTTACAGCAGTGCGCAGATCTTAGCCGCAATTTCTTTCAAGTCTTCCAGCTGTCTCACAGAGCTTATACAGTGTCAAGAGCTATAAAATGACTGACGTGCAAATCTCCGTGCATGTGTTTATTATTCATTATATTCATTTGTCAAATGAATTTAATATAATGATTTTCAGAATATTAAATACAAGAAATGAGCGTGCTATTAATTTTTAATCCGATATTATTATATTAACCTGCTATATCCTGTCGACTAAATGAAATTGGCAAAAAGACATTTGGCCTATATCATCCATCCAGGCGCATTATCTGCCTTCACACAGATAGCTCATGTATCCTCACTCATGATCGATCCATTACATTATTAGAGAGTTTAAGGTCTGCAACGCGGTCTGAATTTCAGCTCAAGAATGAGCACTAAGCAATTTGATAACAGTTAAGAAGCTTTTACAAATAATTAGTTTAAACGGCTAAGTTCGACCGACTGAAGTGAATATTAGATACAAGAAATGAGCATGCTATTAATTTTTAATCCGGTAATTAATAACCTATTTTAGCATATGATGAATATCCTTGCACTAGTCACCTTCACTTCGGTGTATAATTGTTAATTAATATCCTGCCGACAAAATGGAATTGCTCTATATCATCCATCCAGACGCAATTATCGAGATTGGAAATGCAAACTATACAGCGTCCTTTATACTCTGCGTAGCGTGTAGAATATGACTCCGCACTGAAAACACCAAGAAACTAATAGCAGAAAGTGTTGCAAAACCCAAGCTATAAAGTTACAACGATATGGTTTTCTATCCACAGCCGTGTTTACTCGCAGAAGAAAATTTAGCGAGTTGAAAATGCGACTGCCAGATTTGTAAACAATCATTAGACGTTTTCACATTAAAAGACGGACAAGTCGTCTAGACGAACAAATCGTCTCAAAATTGTCTTTTAGTCGGACAAATCATCAGCTGTGAAAACGTGTCGGACA